TTTCTGGATACATCTGCAGAGGAACTCCAGTTTCCCTCCATTATTTCTATTCTATCAGATTTATGAATCTCTTGATCTTCATCCCTATCGGACAAAATCCTCCATTCATCAAATCCCTCATCTCTTGGCGGCATAGTACGATTTTAATAAATTCATGCATGATAAAATGAAGAAAAGAAATCAAGAAAGGTGCGAAGTAAATTTTTCATTTCTTCTACTTTTTATTGCATTTAATTTATTTTAACAAGAACTTAATTTGTTTTAATTTTCTTCAGTCATTTTTAAATTCAAATAATAAACAGAAAAATTATTGGCAATTTGAAGCAAAAATTTGAAACAATAAAAACCAAATTTTTTAAAATTGGAAGACAATTATAGAAATATATTTTATTGTTAATTTATTGTTTTTCATTTTCAGATTCTTCCTGCTTCCTTCAAACAATAAATTTCAAAGAGAGAATAATGGGAGTGATTTAAGTGAAATGAACTAAAAATACTAAAAGATAAAGCTCACATTTTAAAAAGAAAGCTGCTCACAAATTCTTGAAGAATGTATCTTTCTTCTATCCTCCTTCTAGTTCAGGTTTCATTTTTAATCTAATTTTTCTCCTTCTTTTTTCTCTCTGTAATTTCAAAATCATTTTTGTTTCATGTAATTTTCTAACACTCAAATAATTAATGGAATATTTACTATCGTTAATATCTTATAACATTGCAAAATTCCTTTCTTAAACTTATTTTTAGCTTCAAATGCTTCCACTACTCAATGGTGCTGGGATGAGACGGAGTAGCTGTGGAACGCTGCACGGTTGTTGGTATATTTTCTTATCATCTAAAGTTCAATTTTTTTTGTTTTTCAAAAATACCAAGTACATTCTGCATATAGTGAAATGAAATACGCATATCATATCACTAATTCAGCACCAATGTGATTTAATAATTTGTTATTATGTTCGAAAAGATTATTACAATGAAAAAATATAGAAGAGTTATTGGCTTCTTTTAAAAAGATTATTACCAAAAAAATAGAATGAACAATATGTTGTACTTTGTTAAACCATATATAAATCAATCTAATTTGGATAATTTTATCCTAGTTCATCTTATTTCCAATTTTTTATTTCATTTAACTTCTTTTAAAAAAAGGTCAGTACCTAATGAATGCAATAGTAATGAATGCACCGCAAATTTGCGATGGTCCGTAAGTGGTCGTGGGTCGTTTCTTCGCTTACGTCTGGAAGCACTTCTTCGAGATCTGCCATCTTACGCAATGTACATTGCATTGGGGTTCTCAAATGATCAACTTATGGTATATAATCTTTAATCGATATTATTAATCAGCCAAATGTACTATCATTTCCTCTAATTAGATCTTACCACCTTTTAATTAATCAGTTCTCGTCAAATTTTCCAATTCAGAATGAATAATTTTTTATGCTATTAATAAATAAAATAAAAATACAAGATTATTTTTTGAAAATTAATGCGGAATTTACGTAATCAACGTTGTAATATTTAGGGTGATGATACAGTAATAGAATGTGTTTACAATGGTGTTGATGAGGGAAAAGCATATGTATCCTATAATGATGGCAATTATAATGTTCGGTTGCATGAGGTTAAACTAATTTTCTGATTACCAATATTTGTCTTCCAAGAATTTTAAGATTAAATGCTAAATGACATTTTAATTATTCATAAACTTTGTAATCATAATTAGATATGAACATTTATGTAATTTTAAACTATCAAAATGAATAAGCTTCCGTCCTTTATCGCCAATTCACGTTACTATCAACGCTAACTTTTATTTAAATATTAGATTATCTAAAATGGCAAGAAATTTCAGTTTAATTATTATATAAACTATAAATAGACGAGATTCATTTCAGGCTTCAGCTATTCTCATTGTAAATTCCAGTTTTATTGTAAACGATGATACTTTCACTTGCTTACTTAATGTCGACTTCAAACAGCTTTATCGGTTGTCTGATGATGAACAGTTGAAAGTTTGCTTTGTTAATTATTTCAAACTATTTCACTTAACTTTCCTATCACCTTTATCATTGACTTCTAACTTTTCATCGTGCTAATAATCGTCAATACTTTATTTATTAATTCAAATGGCACTATTGCATGAAATCAATTGTATTTTTAGGTACACAATTTATTAGCACACCCATATTATTTAGAATTCGTTCGTGGATTGATTGATCGATATAGTAAGCGCTTGAAATTTAACAAAAATTTCCAAGTTTCAAAAAAAAATTTTTTTTTAATTTCTTTGTAGTTTGATTAATTAAAAAGTTTAATAATAAGCAACTATTAGCATACGTAAAGAAGATGCATTCATTGTCGGATGGTTCACTTTATCCATGGATAACAACAACAATGATTAGTATGTTACGGAATAAAGATGGAAAATATGAAAATGTTAAAAATGCTCGACAAGTTAAATGGTTTTCACGTACTACCACGCATGCGATGGTAACTTTACACGGTAAATTAGTATTTCAGAAAGAATGTCACATTATTGTTTTAATCAAAGTAACATTTCATTACTTCTAGTGATTATGCAATTAACGTTTTATAACAATAAACTTCAGATTGATTTGAATAGTTTGATTAAAATTTTGTTTAAATCTATTTAAGTGAAGTTATTGTATTTACTAAATTTTTCATCAAATCTCTGTCTTCATCTAACTCTTCTAATCAGAGATTGAAAATTCTTAACATTTCGAAGAAATCACTTCTTAAAAAACGAAATTAATTACATAAAACAGAAGGCTTTAATATTTTAATCATATTTTTCATATTAATTTGAAGCAACTTTTTAAAAGTTATACACAAAAAATTAAAAAATCAATTTGAAAATTAAGGACTTTCATTTTCTTTTGCAGTAATCCTAATGATTTGGAGCTGGTGGTTTCTCTTATCAAATGCAATATTATTATCACGACATTTTAAAACACTTTGGGCTACTATACAAATTGCTGATATGCCTATTTGGTTTCAAGTATATATTAGTTAACTTTTTGATCTATTGTTAAAAACAAAATATTTATTTTTTGATAACAAATATCGATTATTTTCTATTTTAAAAGTATAAACAAAAAAAACGAAATATATCTATTTAGCTTCATCGTGGCTGTGCGCTAATATCGATAATGTTACAAACGGCAGCTATTTTCCTCATTTTTATCCAATCAAAATTTCAGTTCTATTTATGGTGTGCACGCCAATGTACTGTAGAGGTCAGATTGCTTCATTATTATAAAATTTGGTTAAAAAATTAAAACTCTTAAAAGATCAAAAAAAATTATTTACAAAGAAATAAATTTTTTTATATTTTTGGAGAATTTTCTGCACAGTTATAATCATCAAAATTAATTAATAGTGTTTTATGTTTCATTATTTTTTCTGAAGAAAAATTTTTGAAACATATCATTTTAAAGTATTTGAAAATTTTTTATCATTTTCAAATTGTTATCATTAATAAGATGAAATAATATTATGCTAGCATATTTAATATAATGTAATTACATATTATGACCCAAAATAATTATTATTATATGGTCAAGTTGTAGCATTTTATGAAGCCAATACATACCTGGTCAGGCTTAATTGCTTATATGCTTGCTGTAATACAAATTGTGATAGCACTATATCAGTTCAAACGGAAATTCATCCAGCGATTCTACTTCAAATGGCTTCATCGTATTTTTGCAGTTGTTGCATTCGTCGCTGCATGTGCGATATTTTACATTTTATTTTGGTCTTAGATTCACTAATGATACGTAAATCAAATAAGATCATTTTACTTGCATTGGAACTGAACCGAAGACATAACATTGAAATATATCAAAAATTTAGAAACACAAAAATTAATGCAGAATTCTAATAGAATATAATAAGGTACTGAAATGGCAATTACGTAACTGCGAAGTTGTATAATTTTGGTTTAGCATACGACATCTAAATCATATTCAAATAAGAAATTTAAAAGGTAGAGATTGGAAAAAGTTTTTTTTTGCGTTTCCGAAATAAAGTTTTTGAAAAGAAAATAATATTTAACAAAATTACTTGTAGCTTTAGGAATATTCTCTGCGACAACGCAGACTAAAACAGGGCTTATCCGATATTATGGAAGATGGCCAGTTCTTCTTCTTGGCTTTTATTTGTGCACATTTTCCATAGTGCTATTTGGCTTTAGCTTTCTGGATGCTTACAGTACAAAAAAATTGGCAGAAAAAAGCAAATATATCGGTTTATTTTCTTTAATAGAATTCTGAAGAATTTTCAAATTTAATTTAAATGAAATTGTAAGTACTGATTTCAATCGTTACTTCATGTAATTATAATTTTAATTTTCTTGAAAACTGTGGTAAAGAATTTGAATCATGTAATTATAATTTTTTCAAAGGAGTTTTACTTAGTGTTTTACGACTAACTGATAATAGATATCATTGAATGATTATTGGGACATGTTTTTATGTTTTCCTTTGAAAAGGATAATAAAAAAAACATTGATTCATTGATTTGATTCAAATATTAAATTAATTCATTAATTTTATTTATTCAGAAGTTTGATTTAGAGCATGAAAATGTCGAAAATTCAACTATGAATGTTGAAACTGCTGAAATTGCAGATAAAGATGGCGAACATAAATTCTGCTGGGTAAATTTTTTGCTGTTTTGATTATTATTTTTGTAAATAATTTAGTAATTAATGCTTAATAAACTCCTTGATTGTTAGTTTTGCAAATAATTTAGTAATAAATGCTTAACTGATTAGAATTCTATAAATAATATTAAGTAATTTCTGTTGTGTGAATTCTTATGCATGAAAAAAAATCGAAATTGAAGGGTGATGATATAATGACCTGAGAATTTGGCAATTGAAAAGAAAATAAAATTATGTATGTGTGTGTGTGTGCGTGTGTGTGTGTGTGTGTGTGTGTGTGTGTGTGTGACAACATGGACAAGGGCAAGTGTCGAGTGTTTAACTGGGCCTCTTGGTTAGCCCAACGACTACATTAAATTAATAAATAAGGAAAATTGTAGCTTTATCCAAAATGATAGAGTTTTTAACGATTTGTATATTGACCTTAAATTCAATTCTAATCTCATAATTTATTGTTTAATTGATTTCAGGTAAAGGTGATTCGCCTATCAATGCTCATCTTCCATGTAATAATTTCATTTACTGTCTGCTTTATCATTACGGCTATGGTTCTCATAAATTATACTCGAAAACACTGATTATTTCCAATTATATGCATTTATTGATATTATGCTATCATATCAGTGGCCATCGGATTAATGGATAAATTCAAAATTTTGATGTAATTTATCCATAATAGTCTGCCCATTAATAAGCAAATGTATGCATTTGTAATAAATAATTCTATTTGTTAATTAAATGCAATTCTTATGGTTTTTGCAATAACTATTATTAAAAAATTATGATAATCTTATGATTGATATATTTTAGTTTTTATTGTATGCTTGAATTTAAATCTGTTCTGTGCTTTATTTTGCCTTCAGTTTATTCTATACTTTATCATTCCTCTTGCTCTTTCCCTTTTCAGTTAATATATTTCCCGATTTTGAATTAAAATATAGAGCAAACAAATGGCCCTATCAAATATAATTTTAAATTTTTTTATTAACAAGATAATTTGGTGCTTCTACGACAAATTGCAGAGAAAAAGAGAAGTTTTTAAAAATGTTTCAAACAGAAGTAATTTAGGTATTTTTTTGAATTTAGGTATTTTTTGTTAGTGAACAAATGTATCGATGAACGTTCTAGCATACTAAATTATGTTGTATTAATATACTGCTACGCTGAATCATATTGTGTGAACTGTAATAAATAATCCTGCATAAAGAATGCAATAGAACATTTTATTGTATTACAATTGTATCGCATAAATATGTTAAAAATTTTCGCACACGATCAACTACAAAATCGGATAACGGCAATTATTACTATTAACTGGTATGGTATTGAACCGAGATTTTTCATATCATTGTCATCATGATAGCACACGGGTGTTATTGCTGGCTGGTTTGTTTCGTTGCATAAAACCTTTCGTTGAAAACATTCCTTGCGTAAACTTGGTGATAATGCATATATGGTTTGTCGCACCTAATTAGTTGTGGAATAATAGGATAGTTTTAGCAAACATTTGTTGTTTATTTGTTTCAATAAACATTTGTTTATTCATAGTATCAAAGGTATGAAAACTGTCGCATGCTTGAAAGTTATGATTGATTCTATTTGACCAAAAAATGAAAAAAGAAACAGATATGCCTGAAGGGTTTAAAGTAGTTGTTATTTTCTTTTTATTTGATGTCAATCATGGGTTGCGGAATTTTTCTTCATTTTTTTTCTCCTTTTTATTGAAAGCATAAAGTTATTTTTATAATATTATACTGAACTTTGTAAAATATTTCTCACTTTTTCCTTTACCTCTTCTTTTTATTACTCAAAATTCTGTGAGTTCGATCATGCACGAAAGTTTCTCCTCTTTGCATATTTTAATTTTGTGTAAAATATAAATTTAATTGTTATTAATTTAAAGAAAAAATGATTCAGCGAAAGTTGAACTTAGTAGTGATTTTATGATGAAAATAACATTGCTTAAATAAAGCTGTGGAGAAATTAACTATCAAACAAATACTGTGTTTTAAATTTGGTGACATTTTGTGTAGTTACGTTTGAAATTTGCCGAACCTTCAAATTAATGGCCAAACTAAGAGTTAGTTAGAATGATTTTCGCAACTTTTCAACATGTACTCCACTTCTACAATAAAATGAAGCCACAGAAAAATAATATTAATCGTCGTGTAGGTGATAGTGACCAGAAATTATTAGTTGATACTTGTGATAATACATGTTTTGCATAATTTGCTGTTTAAGATGTCATTAATGCTGGATCATTATTTGGATAATTTATCTACACTTCCTCGTGACTTGGCAAAGAATTTACAAGGGATTCGGAAATATGATATGGAATGTCATAAGAGATCAGCCGAGATTGATCGGAAATTGAGGGTATTTGTGAAATCGCACCAAAAAATGCCGAGGAGTGCATCAATTTCGTTTAATAAAGAAATTATGGTAAGTCTGTTTTACTTTTTCGTTTTGTTTTTGTTATTTCGTCAGAATATCTTAGTTCAGTAAATTGGATGTTAATGAATTGGAACATGAAATATGAGATAAATACGATCGCTATTGAGAAAGTATTAAATTGAGAACTTGAGAAAATGTAAAAGTTGAAAGATGAGGAAGTAGTTGAGAAAGTATAAAATTTTTTGTTTATGGTAAAATGGTATTAAATAGACTGTACTTATCAGAATAAGCTAATTTTAAGCTGTTCTGTTTTTAACTGTTAAGATAAATACTTTGATTTTCGATATGTATAAGCTATTTTGTTTTCCTGATTTGTCTATCTTGTTTGTATCCATGTCCTTATAGTTGAATAGTTCTTTCATAGATACCTTTATATGTAATTTTATCAGCGAAATGATCTTACAATTTTTTTTTTTAAATGTATGTTAATATCGTAATTACATAGTGATAAAAATTGCACAATTCATATAATCTTGGTGAATTATGCGAAATTTTCATTGTTTCAATGGTTATTCTTCATAGTCATATTTATTGAGCTGATTGTAATTGTAGAAGTATTCAAAATTCATTTTCAGTAATTTCAACCGCAGCATTAATTCATTCCTATTTTAAGGAAAAGTTTATCTTTACGTATGATTCATTTTGGACATCAACTTTTGTAGACATTGTTTGCGGAAATCGAACGTTTATCAAATGAAAAAATCCGTTTGGCATCTGACACTTATGAACTTGTGGATAAACATATCAGACGTCTGGATAATGATTCGGTGAAACTCAAGGCTACTATACGGCAAAAATATTTGGATGCTACAGCGGCAGCTGCGACAAAAGGCAATAAAAACAGCGGTAAATGTTGGAATATTTGTTGTATGTGAATGTAAACTAAACTATACAAGTACTTCTGTTATCTGGAGACGTTTGTATGAGTGATCGAAACTTCTGTGCTCAAATTTCTACATTCATAGTTAACTAGCACAGGTCGAATCGTTGTTTCACGACATCTTACGTCGAAATACTTTGACTTTCGATATCAACATTGTCTCTCTATGTATTCTCTTCCTCTTCCAACTACTGAATTGATTTTATTACATCTTACCGTTTTGGCGAAATAAAGTAGTATTTCGTTTACTTTTATGTGTAGTGATGGGAGAAAATAGCAAGTGAAATCTAATTTCTTCATCAAAAAAAGTAATTTTTAAAGGGGCTTAAAGGCCTAAAAGAACTTAAAAATTTTTATAAGTTTGATTTAAAATCCAAAATTAAATTCAGATGAAATGCTTGACCGGAAGCGAAAAAATGTCGGAGGTCGTAAGGATAAGAAGAAATTAAAAGAGAATATCTGGTCTCAAAAAGGTGCAGGTATGTTACAAGCCTACTATATATTTGTTAATGTTGAATTTGTCGACAGATGTTGTGACATTACATGTACTTTCTATTTCACAAAAGAAGCTTCGCTTTGAAAATACCATTGGAATTTCCTTTCTTATTTGATTTGTGAAAGATAAGATTGCCGGGCTATATACCATTATATAATCTAACAATCAATGATGTTTTTTCTATTATACAAATAGTTAATAATGGTTCTGTGGTAGTTGGAAGTATTTAACAAAATCCAAACTAGTAGAATGCGTTTTCGTTACATTTTATTAGAAAATTTTTTTACAGCTTCAGTCTCTACGCCATTCCAGCCATTTTTGGATGCACCATCGGCTATGGAAATGCCTGTTGATCCGAATGAACCAACTTATTGCATCTGCCATCAGGTTAAAAAAAACCCTTAGAAATTTAGATGTGTATATTGTTGCACTTTAAAGGTCTCATCTTTTTGTTGCAAAGCAAAAAAAAAATGAACTATTTTGCAGGTTTCGCACGGCCAAATGATAATGTGTGACAATAAACAGTGTCCTATAGAATGGTTCCATTTCCAGTGCGTTGGCCTTACGGAAGCACCAAAGGGAAAATGGTATTGTGAACGTTGCAACGAGCAGCGAAAGAAAAAGAATTCCACTGGAAATATTAAATGATTGTCACTCAGGCACATCTGTTAATTAATGCCTTTTGGTACGAAACGAAACTTTAGCATAGCCTTCTGAACGTTGAAGAAAAGTTCTTTTGAAATGTTAAGTCATAGTAACTGAGATGTCCCCATATTATTAGGTTACTTGGAATGTTAGAGATGTCATCTCAAGTTACCTCCGATTACTTGTCTTTCTTAGCGAATTCCGTAATCTCGTATATTTTGGTCAACAAAGTTTTTTTTTCAATATTGCGCAATCATGTCAACAATTCGTTTCTGTATATTTTGTTTTTTGACAAACTGCTCTATGTTTCAGCATAGTTACTTATTTTGTATACATCTTTCCTGTACTTTTTTATTTGCTGGCTTGTAAATGACACTTCGATCTCAATAAAAGTTATACCTCAGAACTTGTAGCAAAGCGTATAGGAACATGCGAGATGTTTCTACGTAATACATAACAATATATGCCAGCGAGTCAAGTCATATTGTCAACATCAGATGTTGGTTGAACCCGCATTAATTGAAACATCAGTGGCTACAACAATGAATCCAAAAAATTGCATTGACTCTTACAACGAACAGTCAGGTAGTTTTATAATGCTGACTTCATCAAGTGTTAAAAGCACTAGATCGTGATTTCTAAGTAAGACGAAGAAAGAAGGATGGTGCTGATAAATTGTATTACAGAAATAGGTGCTTTACTATTATACACACAAAGAAAATATTCTTTAAATGGTAGTGAATGTTCGGTTATCTGTTCACATATCGTTCGTTATCGTTTATACAAAACACTTGATGAATATCCATTGGTTCAAAATCGTTTATTTTCTTGGATTAAGGAAAAGGGCACCAGCTGCATATGAAACAGATGAATCGTTCAGGCTACGGCTCTGCAATTGCATAGTAATCTTTCTCAACATGCGAACAATGCAGTTCGATCAAGATTAATTTCCACTTTTCCTAAGATGACAACTTCGCTTACTCTATTTAACCATCTTCCACCATAACTACCTTCCCTAATAGAGATCTTTGCTGGTACAACAATGCCTTTAGAACACATCGCGGCATACTAAGATGTGAAACAAAGATAAGCATCTTCTTCACACCAGTTCCCATCCAACCAACGACAGTCTAAATTTTTAATAAGAAAGAAATAATCTGCTTTTCAAAGAGTTCTTAGAAGGTAAGCAGCTCGATAAATTTAAATTCTATATATTTTAAGTCATTCTTTATGTCGTATTGGACACTATGTATGATGCTCCAGTCTAAAATCCAATGAAGCAGTCAAACTGATGCTTGCATAAGCCTTGAACTCATTCCAGATCAGACTTTACCGAATTTAACAGTATGAAATCTCCAACTAAACTACTACCTGATTAGACTGTGCATATTTGAGAAATACGAATTCTGCTAGATAACTGTTCATTTGACGAAAATATTCTACTGCCTGGAAACACAATGAGAAATTCACCAATATGCACAATGCTTTTTAAAGATCGAATACAATGAAGAGAGAGCAACAGGATTATATAACAGTGAATATTTTATTATAAAATGCTTGAAAAGCAGAAATACGCTATCTATGGCACATATTTCAAACACGATTGATCTGCTGAATATCCTCTAACTATGAAAGATTGCCACTCTTCATCAGATCATACATTATTTGATAAGAAATGTAAAAAAATAATGTGCTTACATATAGAATAACGCTTATTGGGTTTCTGCCACAAATTGTATTTTGTGTCCTTTTCAAATACTCTCCAAATGCGGCTGGATTAAGATTAGAAATTGCGTCCATTCCCTGAAAACAGCCCAACAGACAATTATTGTTAAGACGCACCGGCAAGCTTTAACATTAAAATTTATCACTTATTTATGTGTGCATAACTTCAAATTTTCTACTATGAATAACTTGGCAGTTCCGTAAATCTTGGGGATACTCATTTCATAACAAGTATTGAAAAACACTTAAGCATAGTGTACTGCAAAGACATAAACTAAAAATAAGACAGGAATCATCCTCTTTCCTATAACCTCCATTCCTCCTGATGTCACATTAGCCTGTCCATCCCTTTTCTTATCTTTTAAGATTCTTCTCTTTTAAGAAAATTAAGATTCTTTATCAAGAAATTCAAAAAAAGAGAAAAAATAAAACCTGTTTGTCCATGGCAGCAATCTGTTCATATATTGGTACATCGGTACTACTATCATGTGGCATGAAGCGAAATCGACTTCCTTTAAGCATACATTAATTGATAAATAAATAGATTAAGGAACATTCACTTTGTCTTGCTTTATCTAGATTTTAAACTGCATACTCTTCATAACTCAACAACTGTTTTAAGCATGTTATTAGTTACAATTAACTTCAGAAAAAAATTATTCTTAAACTATCATACCCCAGTGACAGAAATCGGAACTGATGACAAATACTATCTTTGGATCTGACAGATATTTGCTGAATATTTTGCCATAACTGGCTTGTTTTGATGGTGAAAGTGACCCTACCAACACTGGCACAATGCTGTAACTATTTCTTGACTTCCTGCAACAAGAAATTTAGTTCATGGATTCGAAAAAGACGTGGAAATCTTGCCATTCCATAATTTGACCCCACTAAAAGGGTAAGCGATCTTGTCGAGTTTTCATCCAAATTTAGTTTATCAGTTTAATCTTTGAATAAATCCGCTATTTTAATCCAACAAGAATATACTTTTCCATAATTTTTGCTATGTAAGGCAATTGCATTTCAATGCTATGTTCTGCTTCTTCACTACGCAAATCCATCGATGAAAAAGCTCCAGTTTCTTTTAGTTCCATGTTTGCTGCAAAAATTATGATGCCTAACGTGAAGTTGAGAAATAAATTTTATTAATATCCAGCACTACTCAATTCTATAAAGAACTGAATACTTTAACTACAGAAGAGTATTATAGTTTTTCAGAGAACTCTCAACGACAATAACATTCAATTAAATTACTGCAGAGGCATGATCAACCCGTTTATTTTGGTTAACCAATTTTTAGCCTCTCTTTCTACCACTGCCACCATCACCAAAACACACGCACACATCCCCTAGAAGGCTTAATTATTTATTCATGAGTGTCACTCATCAATAACGCCTCATCAGTCAATTATCGTCAGCACGTCTACCCAAGAATTTGTTTCCTCTCGCGATTGATTCATTATTGATTTATAGACGAGATTTTTTTGACGAATTTGGAAAAAATACTTCTCTGATCGATCTGAAGATCACCTAGAGGTGTACAGTAATGCGAACAGGTCGACAATGCACAAGTATCCAATGACACCACGTGTGACGGCCCCAATATGAATATAATGCTACTATAACAATTATACGAAATGACGCGCAGATTTCAGGAAAGAAAGCTTTAAAAATAATTAAAGCTCCAATCAATTTAAAGATCTAAATCTATAAGCAGGAATAAAATTTTGCGACTTTCTTCTTTTATTGAATTTCTTGACAATACAATTCATTATCTTTCACTGAGATGACGCGAATGGAAACGATATGACATCATGTATAAATTAGAGAAGACTGGTCCAGGTGTGGTCCGGTTCCCGAATGCTGCTCTATTGTAAAGTTCCTCCGCCGTTTTTTAAAATAAATGATAAATGGTCGACCACGTGACTCTGCTGCTGGGAAACCTTCATTTTATGACGACCAAGTCAGCAAACAGGTTAAACGACTTAGAAGTAGATTACTTGCAATTCCTAAGGGATTATAAAAATATTAAAAAATTACAGGTATAACAAAATTTTCACTTACACAGTTTCAGGAACAATTTGCTTGTAGGCAAAAGCTGCAACCCTACCACTATATGAGTAGCCAGCATGCCTGAAAACGAGTAGCGGTTACTAAAAATCCATTCAGAACCTGTACAACTGCTTTGTCCCAGTCTGGAAACATTCATCTTAATAATTTCTTTTCTCCGTTAACCCTTTACTTATTCACCGATAAGAGGAAGAGAAATGAAATATGATGGACAGGTGATGTTAAAATGAAAAGCTCAATCATACTTGAAGCAAAGACCGGAAAGTGACTTCGCTTCTATTAATCCATACTGGTGCTACTCCTTAGCAAGTTGTTAACTTTATCATTCTGTATGAATAATTAATACCAAAATTAGTGATATGCATATATAATCTGAGCTATTAAAATTTAGCCTAATTAATGTAGTCGAAGAGAAAATTGATGGGTTCGAAATGTGCAATGGTCAATTTCCCACTGCCGCAAAATGACAGCACTTACGGTGAAATAATAGCACGAGCTGATTCAGTATGACGTGAGTCGGCTGCACCAAGCCATTCTGTTAATTCACGATGCAGTTCCTTTGGATTATCCGTATACCTAATAAAGGACAAAGTAATACAATAGAAATAGGACTGCACGAGTGCAATAAACCCATCCTTAAAAGACACAATTGAAGTATAGAAAGCATAAAACAACAAAGTTCACGTTACATTCTTGCACGTTACGTTACATGGTTTTAGAACAAAAAAAGCAAACCAGGATCCAGCGTGAGATGCATTTCTTACAGCATAGCCGATAGAAGCCATTATTTTAATAGGATAGTCTTGACGCGTTCCAACGATACACCTACATTAAATTAAATATATTATTTTAGACGTACTTGCATAATGAACAATATTACAAGTAATCATTTCTGAACATGCCTTAAAAATAAATTTGCATTAAAAGACAAGCTCAAGTATGTGCAATGATGCTTGTACTTTGAACAACATATCTGGTGAAAATTTTTGAAAGTGAAGAGTAAATGAAATATATCCTTTGATGAAGAAGTGTGAAGATCAATGAGTTTCACATAAATCATTTTTCCCTCGTCTTTCTCCTGACTTTTGAACTCAACAGTAACCTCTGCTCTGGCAGGGTAAAGGTTACTGCTGGGTTCAAAGGAGACAAATTTCACGACAGCAAAATGACCGACCATCGGTGAATGCAACGAAATGTTGTGGCATAGAAATGACGTCAGTGAGGTAAGCGTTAAGAGAAATAGTACGGCAGAGAATGATATACATGTCAAAGTAGAGAACAATAGAGGGTATGAAGCGTTGCACTTGTGTTTTCCGCGGTATCTTTTGCAGAGAAATTTGGAATTATCGATCTGAGATATCAGTTAGGAAATTGCATGATGGAAAGAAATAAAGTTCTCGTAGAAGCGGGTCAAAATATAGTACTGGAGCGGCAACTCGTGACACGAAGAGACGTAGGAGACCAAATCATGGTGTGGAAAGCCGGTGATATGATACCAGAAGATGTCGATAATATGGTGTCAAAAGAAGTTATAGCAGCGAAAAATGAAGATATGAAAGAATTTGATGAAATTATAGTACCAGAAGACAGCGACATGATATCAATTAAGGGTGATATGTTATCAAATGAGAATATGATAGCTGTAGAAAATATGATATCTGTAAAAAGTACTTCAGGATCAATAAATGATATTACACTGGATGACTGTGATATGGAAGAGGAATAGTGATGTGACAGCAATGGATGCAGCTATGATATTAGAAGCAAATATGGTATCAATAGATGAGGCTTTACGATCACTGGGGGAAGATATGGTAATAAGCGACTTGAAAACTAAAGTTGAGATAGTAGCAAGAGATACAAATATGATACTAATGGATGAAAGAGTATCTATAGACGAATCTATATTAGTAGATGAGCCTACATTTACGTCACCAAAAAATAAAACTATGGAATTAAACGATCAAATTATGATACCAAAACACGATATTATCAGACGAATGTATGAAATCAGTGGATAAAGTTCTGTCACCAAAACAGAAATCTATGGAAATGGGTGATCAAGTTATGATTTCAGAAGGCGATGCGATGGAAATAAAAGATGAGATCAACAAATGTAGATACAGACCAACAAATCAATCGATGAAATCAACCAAAAAAAATGAACAAAATGATCATGTAGGAATGGATCAAGTGATAATTTTCGACAAAAAAGACATAATTCAGGGAAGTTTTAAAAGTAATAAATTCTTATTTTAGTTTACACATTTTACGTTTTATTATTGTTAGATATTATTTAAATTTCAAAATTTAATTTTGATTGATTATAATATTCTTTTCGTTTTATTCTAATTCGAATTTCAGATAGTTTGTATAACTTTCTAATAATAATCGCATTATGGATGATTTCGGAAACTTTCTGGAAAATAGCAAAATAGCTATTACATAATAACTCATTGTGACAGTAACGATGTCAAATTATTTGCTGCTTCCAGTGATCTCCTCAATGGTCTCCAGATTAATTTAAAAAAATATCTTAACTTCTTATAATGATCTCTTCAGAAAAACCTCATTTAATTAAACAACTTAATTAAAATTATGGAGGATCAACGTGAAAATTATTCCTAATATGTATTTGTCTCTTTTCTATAATCCAATTTTTCATACTTTTAAAAATATGTATACTTCTTCCATACTTTTAACATTTTTCTCCCCCTCTTCCTCCTCCTCCACTTTCTCTTTGTCTCCACTTTCTTTTAGCAAGCTTTTCATTTTTACAGAAGTAACACAACTAGATCAGATTAATATTACCACTACTTCAACTATTACTGCAGCAACAAAATGGTAAAGCATTTGTGTACATAAGAGAAGAGCAAATATGAAATGTAGAAAATGTAATATCAAAATCTCAAAAACTGGAAATTTTGAAAATGGATCTTGTAAAATTTCCTAATGGTCAAGAGGAAATGTGAAGAAGGGAAAGAAAGACGAAAAAGAAAAAGTAGAGGAGGAAATAGAAAGCTGAAGGAGTGACTCAAATAAAGTAATAAACAAATCCAGTTTGATCGAGTAACTACACTATCTAACAAATATGCATACTTGCATTTCTCTTCTTCTAACATTCTTCCTTAATTATTATTTTGGTATTGCCTATTCCAAACAAATGTTTAATTAATGAAATTGAAGAAAAGAAGGAAAAAATTTTTCTTGTTTATGTATATATTGTTTTTTACCTATTTTTAATTACCATTCATTTGTATTATTTTTTTTCTTTTTTATATGAAAATTAAGAAATTGCTGAAATTTCATCAAATAATTAAACAAATCCATTCTTTTTATCTCTTTGCTATTGCTGTTGCCTACTGCTATTCCAAAATCTTTTAAAAAAAAGAACAAAATATCTATTTTGACATTATTTCAATTATCATTTATTTTTGTTGCTTTTTGCTTAAACATTAACACATTATAAAATTACTCACTGATAATGCTTAACATTAATGCTACATTATAAAATTACTCACTGATAATGCTTAAACTTTATTATTTATCGAATAATTAAACAAACCCTTCACTATAGTATATTTTATGATGAACAATACTCTTTCTTTCTTTTTCTCGAAAAAAAGAAACGAAGATTAAATGATCACTTTCTTTTCTCTTATATTACTAATCCTATTACTATTGTCATGAGCCTTATAATGATGAAATTGGAGATTTGAAAGTGGATGATAAAAACAACAATGGCTATATTGGCAGTTTTGCAATGGAAGGTAATTTTTCTTTGTATATATTATACTTATGGTTTATTAATTTTGGAAAGGGATATAAGAATTAAATAGTCTCAAATTTTATGCTTGGAGACAGACATCAGTGACTTTCTGATATAGAGGAAATTGTGTTGCATCTATAGTCATTTATTATAAATGAATATCAATAGATTACTCTTGCTAGCAACACTAATCAATGTGAATAGGATATTAGGAGAGAATAAAAAAAATGAATAATCGATTCTAATTACAACTACTGATAATTGCAGATCTTGTTTTGGTTTTCAATAATTTTATTAGATTCTAATTCGAATGCCATCAATTTGTCTTCTTCCTCATCATTATGGTTACATCGCGATGATAGAAATTTGGATTTCGACAGTCAAACAACGAATGATACAAATAAAATTACATGTATATGCTTTTTCCTTGTATCTTTGAGATCTGATTAAAATTTAATTCTAAAATATCAAAATTAATAAATGACATTTGACCATAATCCTTCCCGAAATCTGCTGAAATTCATAATTGTTTATTGAATTTTTATGAAAGAATTTTAAACAACTTTCTTCTCTTTAAAGTTATTTGACATTTCGGTAAGAAATATAACTAATTTGCAGTCTTTAAATAACTTTTTCAGGGCAATCACCAACAAATTTTACACATGAAAGATTTTCTGGAAATTTTTCAACCGATGAAGAAATAGAATCAAAAAATAATCAAGAGGTATTACATTCTTTCTTTTTGTAGCACAATATTGATAAAATGCTTATTTTCCCTTCAGAACGAAGTTATTCTTAGTCAAAAGTCATTTGACAATTAAACCAAATTTTTAGGCCTATAGAAAGCTCATCATTTATGTATATTGATAATGAAATACTAACATAAGCAATTTAATAATTTACTGATATAAATTGATGTACAAGTTGATAAATCTCTGTTGGAGCAAATCATATCTTTGCGTCACTTATACGAGGGTTTTTAACTTTGAAGAAAAATGAAAATTTTTTGAGGTGTTAATTTGCATCACTTCAATTGATGATTTATTTCGAGGAAGCTAGCAATGGCGATCAACGCTACAATTACGATGAAATTCGGCAATCCATTACTCCATCACCAGTTGAAAATTACACGAAGTCAAAGAGGTCAAAGATAATTTAGATAATTTTCCATTCTTACTCATCCAAATTGTTAAAATTTAAATTTATTTCATTAAAATTAAAAATATTCAAATAATTGGAGGAAAAAAGAATGAATGAATAACTTTGAATATAAATTTTTAGATTTAAATCAATTTTAATAGATAATCAACATTTATCAAAACGTAAACCTTAAAGTTTAAAATGAAGGATTGTTTCAGTGGACAAAATTAATTTCATTTTTGTGTTGTAATTTCATTTTTGACTTCTACTTGTTACTTTTTACCTTTTTGCAGGCGTTCAATATCGAATATGAAACGATGCACTCAGTATAGTGAAAAATATCTATATCAATTGCTAGAACGTTCAGGAATGCTTAATCAATGGTTTATGGCGAATAACCCCGAAGAAGCGGGCCGTAATTTTGCTCGTTCTTATAAAAATCTTTTCAAAACTAAGTTTGATTACTTCGATTTACCTCAACATGATAATTTACGATCTAATGTTGATGTAAGTTGCGTTAATTAAATTAGTGATAGTGTATGATATTGAAGAATCATATTAGTGTCAACTATTCTCACTCAATTTTTTTCTTTCTTTCTCTCTCCTCCTTTTCCCTCCTTCGCTAAGGTAATAAAATAATGATGATCATTTGCGAAATTTTTAGAAAAGCATAGGGTAATACAAAAAAGTTTTTCAAGAGCAAAATATTTGAAACATTATTATTTAGCAAATAAACATTGCTTAATAAGTATTGTATTTATATTTGAAATATGATTTCATTTAAGTATTTTTATTTGCATATTTCTTGCGCAGTTAGCTAATAAATTCTATTTTTGATCATATTATTTTAGTTATTACAACCGTAATTATGGAATATGATACTTAATTAAGCAATTTCAGGATATCGATATATCATTTTTGTGTAATGATTTGTGTCAAAATATCATTTGGAAATTGAATGAGGCGCTTGAAAAGGAGAAAAATGGAACATTTTTATTAAGTGCACCATTTTTTGATGATGCCCAATCACGCATAACTGATGCTAGTTCAACGAATGCAACATTAACCAATTGTCAGTTAGGTATTTAATTAAATGAATAAAAGTATTTGGATTTTAAAGCAGGATAAAATAGAAGAAAATTTCTTTTAAGTCATCTAAAATTCCTTTATCATTTGGAATATTGCACTAACTTATATATAAAAAAGTATACATTAACTTATCAGTTACAAAAGAAGTTATTAGATGATTATGATGGATTGATATAAATTCAACTGATAGTATTATGTAATTATAAATATAATTTTTATATTTTGATCAACATTGTCTTATTTCTACACCGATAAATAGCGGAAAACTGAAAGAAATTTTGAGTGAGTAAAGAAAAAATCAGCAAAAAAGAGCAGAGAGAAAAAAGAAATGGGAAATATTGGACCAAACTCGCGTGCTTTAAATGATCATATGTTTTCTAACCAGTGGTCCCACTCATTTCATCAAAATATCCAATTTTCTATTGCCATTGATGAAATTTGAAATTTTTATCATTAAAAATTAGCTATTAACCTTGCCTGTCGCACTTTTCTACCAAATTAAAATTATACGTAATTTTCAAAAATCAGAAATGCAAACATTTTTTGGGAAACTCCGGCGTAGAGAAGTAGGAAGAATAGCTAAATAATTAATGATAGGTTTTTAGGAATATTCATACCAGTTGGAAAATGTATCCCGCAAGGTGCGGAAGAATTCGAGGAGCATAGTAGACTGTGTACATCTTGCCATGGCGTATATATGCTTGGTAAAATGTGCTTCCCGCGATTTATCAATGCCATAAGATGTGAAAGTCAAATTCAAACATCTGGATGTATTTTCGACAAAATTTCAACCCAACGTAGTTTAATTACAAATTAAAATAAGTTTATAATTTGATCATTTGAAAGATCAATACATTTAAATATTTAATACTTGTCCATTAAAAAGACAGGCATCTAAGAATTTGAAATTTATTGTAAAAGTATGGAACTAGTTGATTTTACTTATAACATTTCATCATTATCTTTTTCGGCTTTTTCTTTGGGTATATTTCATTGAAATATACTGTTTATAAAAAACTCATAATTAACTAAATTACACTGATTTTAACACTAAAACTAATTTTAGCTCATGGTTTATGTTACATGCGTACGCTCACGCTTGAAGTATTATGTAATGTAGGAAATGAAGAATGTCAAGAATGGCATCATGAATATATTCAAGTTCCAATATCCTGTGAATGCCAACTCGATACAGAATCACTACTGCTAAGTGCTGTGAAACTATGATGATGAACGAAAAGAGTGACATGTTCGATGAATGACAACAATGAGTGAAGAAAAGAAATAAAATATTGTAAAAAAATGATTAAACAGAAAAAAGGAAAGAATAATTTTATTGATGAAAGAAAAAGTGATCATCTTTTTTTCAAAATGATGCTATGATGGCAGCATCGCTTCGTGATCTTTTTAGTTTTTTATTCTGCTGAAACGAAGTTCTACAAATAGGTCATGTATTGAAATATTTGTCGCAAAACAATCTCATTTTAACCGATCGAATCAGCAAAAATTCAAAGCAAAATTGGTAAGGGCGTAATTACATCCTATTAACATAACATGAAGGTCATATTTTTTCTCACATTCAGAACATGAAGAAAGTGGCTTATACAATGTCTAAATAATCAAGAAGCTGCTCTTTCATCACAGTTACAAATAATTTATTTTCATCCTTTATTAGTTAGATTTGTAAAGAACAGATGACTTAAAAAATGAATGAGCCGCTCAATCAATTCACAAAGTTGGTGAAATTTCAGAATACGAAGATATACCTGTCTACTATGAATGCAAAAATTACACGAAATTATACAAATATCTAGAATAAAAATGACAATAGACTGATCACATCGTTCAAATATGCAGTGGAAGGCTGACAATTAAACATGATACATAATATCATTGCTTAATATCTATTGCTCACTTACGAAAATGGCCTCAACGGAAAGAATTAAGTCGGAAAATTGAAATAATTTTATAATGTAAAAAAATTAAAATAGAGTAATTCTGTATTCTGAAATCTATTCTCCAGATGTCACTCGTCCTAAATATTCTCAGTCAGATGATAAGACATATTTTTTAGAATCGAGAAAGATTCTAAAAAACACTGTAAATGATTAATTCCAACGATTGTGGGTTTACTATTAGTTTCAACTGTCAAATGATCAGACGATCTTTTGTTTACTATTAGTTACGTCCATCAAATGATTAATTGTATATTTCACTATAGATAGTTACCAACTGCCACACTTCTCGGAACCCTCATCTCAACGAATAGTCCTAAATTATTCGTCTGGGTCAATCAGTAAAGTCATCATTTCCATCTCTAATAATCTCTAATAATTGCATTATAATGTCAAGAAAAGTAAACCTCTCTATCAAATAATCAAGCCTTCACTACAATTCGATTGTGCCAGATCAAAACTCTCTCAAAAACAACTTCCATTAAAAAAAAGTCACAACATATCTCTGATGCTAAAAGCTTGCAAAAGAAAAATCAAAAAAAATTTCTCAAAGAAATCAAAGGAAACCATTAGATCAAATGCTAACCAGAGAAAAAACCTGTCAACAATACGAGACCAGAAAAAGAATTTTTGAAGGAAAAATAATGCGCCTCGAACTACACCTTTGTACTTTCGAAACCCACAACGCAAATTGGATACAATATCTCCAAGTTTCGACCCTCTCAAAAAAAGAGAAGAAAAATAACTCAAATGATCGAAAAAAAATGACGAAAAAGGTATTTTAAATTTAATAAGTGAAGGGGAAGAAGATATGATAACTTCAAAAGTATATAAAAATGACTCTGGTTTGGTTTTCCAGCGCCTAAACCAAAATCATGTGAAAGAACAATTAACTCGCTGACAAGAGTCAATCCAAACACCATGTCACTCAACAGTGAACTTGCCTCAATTATCACTGTCTAAATTCAATGGTAATCCAAAATAATGAGGAGGATTCTAGGAGTAGTTTTGATGCTGCAGTACGTTTATAAAATATTCTAAATATACAAAAACTGAATTATTTAATTGCATGTCTCAAAGTAGACACCTTATTAACCATTAGAGGCTATGACTAATCAAATTCATAAACATATATGTTCAGGAAGAAATTAAGGACTGAATCTAATCGATAAACCACTATCATTGTGAAATATTATATTGATAATACAAAAAACAAATATTATTCTATAAATTCACTCATTTCAAATAAATATATAAAAAGTATCTGATATCGATGAAGCTAATTTTTATTTTTACAGCTTACTTGAATGTGAAGGATAAAATTTTATTCTTTTTTATCAACAAAATCTGTATCAGGCAACCACTTACTACCGTCCAGCGGAACTTTTTCCAACCAATCATCGCAAATCGTTTTGTTATCCTGCAAGTAAACCATTAAATAGTTCCGCAAAGAAAACAGTAACGAACTCCAAACGATATAACTAACAGGTGTTTTGAATGAACGCGAAACTATTTGAAAATACACTGAATACATGACGGGAATTTACGGTGTATGCAAAATACATTAAAACTCTTAAATGAACATACATTATCGAGCACAATCCCTGAGCAAGCTATAAGAGCCATACTATCATCGACAACGAAAGCGTTGCCTAAATATGCATCAATCTTTGTAGCTACGCGAACAAAGTCTCCATCTTGCGTAAACTGTTGAATGCGACCTGTTTTATCCAAAACAAGAATGTCACTGCCATATCTGAAAAGATGCTATTATAAAATGGAAGTCAGAAATGACTAATAAAGCCAGTGATACTACTAACAATGCAAACAGAAATAATTTATATGCATATAATCACTATATCAATAGCATCACAATTGTTTTTGATTTTCATATAATGTTCAAGCAGTAGAAATGTTTCAATTCTATAAAGTTAACACTTCAGGAGTAGAAGCTCTCTGAATCTCAATCATTCTTTATGTCTAGAAAATAACGTAGAAGAAGCGAAATAAAGAATTTAAATGAATTACATCTTATAGTAAAGTAAACGGAAAGCAAAGTGAGATTTAATTTTATGTCTGCTACCTCTATTTAAAAAGGAATTTGTTTTCTAAACCAATTACAGTGCCGATTATGCCAAGTAGTGATATGGCACAGTATGAAATGCTCAGTTAGCATTCCATTCTATTATTAAAAACCTTTTGAAATTTTTTTAGCATCCACAAAGAATGGAAGACAAATCATCATTATGAAAAGAAATTTATGAAAGAAAAATGTTTAAAAGAAAATCAAACTAACTTCTGTATTGAAAGAGGAAAAAAAATCTGTCCATCTTCTTTTCCTTCCTTACTGAAACTTTTAATTACTTTTCCTTTTGTAACGCTGATTAATCGAAGGGATTGCCTGCAAAGTGATAACATAAATTAAGATTATATTAACGGATTTCATTAGTTAATCACCACGCAACCATTAAATTTCATTAATCAATTACATTTCAAAATAATGGATAAACATATCTCTTCCAGTTTTTTTTTCTCTTTTTAAATAATTCGAACAGCTGCTGAAGTCTGCCAAGAAAAGACAAAAATAGACCTTTATCCTTGAACAAATTATCAACCCATGGAAAAAATACGGAAAATGAAGAGAAGTGATTGTAGCAGACACTCTAGCATACAATCTACTTGATCTAATTTATAGTCACAAATTTGCCCAAATATTTACTTTATGATAAAAGTAAATGCAAATCTTTGCTAAATATAAAACAACTACATTAAATGTTAATATGAATAACCTAGAATATATATTGATAGGTGAAGTGCATGTTGAAACGACTAATAAATCGCTAGATAGGGCACATATTGTTTGAAAGACGTATTCATCTTCACAGATCACTTCGTTCCAACAAGTTGGGCAACAAACATTCGAACTAAAAAAAATTAAATAAGCAATCAAATACAAACGAAAACTTTCAATTTTTTTTGAAAAAAAGGTCTTCAATGTAAGACAGATAATAACTTCATTATTTTATAACATACCTATAAATAATGGAATCCTCGCCTTTTACTCGTTTGGTCAAAAACATGTCCCCGCGATTATTCACGCTTAAACTTTGTATTTTGCCGTCAACAAATTGCTCGCTGATCGTTTCCCCATCCAATTTCATTACTTTGAGCAAAGTCAAACTTGACATACATTCCGAATAAGCATAAATTATCTGAAAAAAAGAGGTGATCCCTTTGACGTAAGCAATGTTTTAAAGTTTCGTTTATACGATTGCTTGTAATGGAATAACGCTGTTAAACACATCATTGTAAATAATCGAAAATGAATGGTTTGACATTCTAATCAGAGAAGGCAGTTTATAATGAAGTAATTCTTACCCTATTTTCATAAAGTAACACTTGACAAAACGGCTCAGCTTTTTTTGCAAAATCATTTTTCTCCTGAAAAAGTAGTTTACCGAATCGATCTATTTTGAATAATCCTCCCTTAGTCGCAACCCAGATATTTTGTTGATTATCAATGGAGATACTGAAAAAAAAATCAGGAGAAAAAGCAAAGATTACGTGATAAGCTAAATATATAAAAAGGAATAAACTAATCACAAGTAAAAATAATAGGATAGCACTTTTCCAACATGAAATACTTTCGAAACATATTTTTTCAATAATCTTTTGACAAAAAAACCCAACCCACCTGTATGGTATCCGAGCGCCAAGCGGTGTCAAATGTACGAACATTTCCGCAAGACGTTGATGATTAGCAGTCTCTGATGGCCGTTCCGTCATATTGTCATGTGTGAAGTGATACTGCAATTACTCTGAAATAAGAAATTAATGTTAATGAATTTCATGACAGCAAAAATTATATTTCTTTAGACAAGAAATTTCAAAAATCTTGAACTAAGATCTCTTTCTTTTTTTCTCATTCCCCCTTAGTACCGACACGTTAAATTTCCCGCTTTAATCATTGCTGTTTTCTTTTTGAATGAGAAAACATACATCTTTCTATCAATCATTGAACCTTTAAGTTTATCGTCTTTCTTTCATCTCTTTCATATCACTGATATCTAATTCCTTGTCAATCTTTGCCATTTCTTTATCCGATATTTATTAAAAGCTTTTATTGTTTCGTTTGAAACGCTGAATATATTGCTGTTTTACAACCACTATATTCCCAACAACCCCTAATATTTCTCTAATCTCTCATCTCTTTCCACTTTTCAACTTAATCTATCTTCGAAAAAAACCATTCCCTCCTGAATTCGAAATACACTTTTACAGAAGTACAAAACTCCGTATCCCGTACCCTGCACTTGTATCCCAATCCCCACATTTTGCACAGAGTACCCCACCTCCCATTCAACACCCCATCCCGCACCATGCACTACACCGCAACATGTTGGCCATCATGGCATACAACTCGAAATTAAAGAATTCCGATCGAAAATAGATTTTCGGTATGAGATCTTGTACAGTCGTTGCAGCCCTTGCTAATCATCGTAGTTATTAGATATTTGTATGAAATGTACATATACATAAAGAAAATGTACAGTGTACGGTATTATTTGAGTGCAGCATAAGCTTTGTAATTCCGTGAGACATGATGCATGTGTAATTAGCAAGTATCAACACTTGATTCAGACTGCATGCAGGTTTAAATATGCAAAAGAAATCGTTGTCCGCGCTGCCGCATGCTTTTGATTTCATTTCATTTCCAAGCTCGGATAAAAGCCATAATTTTGCGAGGAATTGTCATTTTACCACCGATAGCTGAGAAGTGCGACTGCTGATTTAGCCTACACGTAGTCTACGTGGATCACCTCGAGGGGTAATGTTCCTTCATGTTCCACTGATACTTTACTTGCTTTGATAAGCTCATTTTTGACTATTTTTAGTTATTGATACTATTATCATTATCGTCATCATGGTCATCGCTATCATTCTATTAATATATCATTATTGTAACTATGATTTCTATTTAGTTACTCGAATTCCATTATACTGTTTGACTTTAATGTTTTAAAACCTTTCTTTTTTCTGTCTTCCTGTTGCTTTTGTTAATTGTTTAAAAGCTTTCTTTTTGAATTCTATTCTAAATGTCTAAGAAATTAATAAATTTTGATGGATACCTTAGCCATACCATAGGAATAAATGCAGCATTTATTTCGTGGGAAAAAATTAAATCTGGATTTTGGAATGTTAAATTCAAATAAATATTATGAAATGTGTGTGATTTCAGTGGAAATATTTTAGATGGGTGAAGATGAAAGGAATATTAGCGACGATATGTCAAGTCTTTTGCGTGCAGCTGAAGAATGGGCAAATGAACGATTATTTGGAGTTTATTCGTCAAACGATTTAAATGATTCAATTTCCTATGTTAGATTTTACTTTTACAACAATTTTGGATTAATTTGACCTTTCTTTAAAATGAACGTTGTAACGATAAATTAAAAAAGTAATGGATATAGGTAATATAAATGTTAAATATGTTCTAACCCAAAATAATATAAGAATGATTGAGCATATTTTAACGCAAAATAATCTTTAATTAAAGAATAATGTTAGGTAATTACTAAAATATTGTCTAAGTTTCATTTTCTGCTTTAAAAGTATTCCTATTACGTGCTACCTGAAAAATGCTAATGTCATGGTACTTTCAACAATTTTTGGTAATTAAAAAAAAATCTGTTTTGATTGAAAAAAGAAAAAAATTAACAAATATTTTTCAGCCAATTTATGTACCAATTGAAGAAGTTGCTCGACAAGTTGTTTTAGAGATATGCAAAACATATGAATGGAACCCTGAAACTGGAACAGATAATCGACTTCCAGGACGGAATACTATTGATACAACAACCACACAACAGTCTTCGGAAATACCAATTTTGCGTAATATTTTCCAACGTTCTATCTTTCCTTCTTCGGTTACGAAATTGAACGGAAATGAATTTACTGCAACCCCTGAAGTCCTCTCACCAACAGAACATTTCAAGTATCATCAACAGGAGACTTCGCTTCATACAATCCAACCATTCACCACAACATGCGAAGATACTGTAGATAAAGCATTTGCTGTGGGTCAAAATACTTCACTCAACAAACCGAAACAATTGGACACATCTGATCAGGTAGGTCACATTAATAATGCCATAAATAAGACATTTGCCATTAAAAAAAATGCTTCGCTTAAAATGATGAAAGAATTTAATGCATCTGATCAAATAATTCACGATAATTCAAAACGGAAATCCGGAAAAGTTGCCATACTGCATGTTATGGATACTATTCCGTCTTTGGCTGAACATACTTTTTGTGATAACAAAATTTCCGCCGTGCATAAAGTTGAGGAAAACAGTTATATTTCATCGAATGATAACTATTCCGATATATTGAACAAAAATAGAGTGTCCAATTCAGAAAAGCATCCTGAAAATGTGGAACAAAAACTTCTTCCCGCTGCTTCTCAGGAGTTAGCTGCAAATCCTATGCTGAATACCGCATTTTCTCCTGCAAACATTGATTACCAGCGATTTGTCGACAATAACTTTATTACCAGTACTCCTTATTTGAAATCTCTGAAAGAGAACCAAAGAATATCAGAAATTCTCGCTATAAGAAATTCTGGATCAAACAACATCAGTTCTCAAAGCAATGTTATTACTGTTCATAGAGACGGAAATACTGTAAACTCACGTTGTGCATCAGACAACAGTAATATTATCGCCACGAAAAATATAGTCACTGTTTTAACTCCTAATGAAACTGTTACTGGAACGAGCATGTTTACGACTAATGAAATTATCCGACCGGCATTTCCGAAAGCTTCAATGAATGGTGGAGATATGAGAAGAAATATTGCGAACTTACCTGAGGTTACTAACTTACCTGAAAATGACATGTCAACACCAAGAACTGTTATTATTGCTAATACTACCTTAGAACAATTTCCACCTTATTCCGGCGAAAAAGAGAAAGATTTGCGGGTTACCAATTCAATGCGGATAAATGCATCTCAAAATGATGCACCTTATCGTACGTTATCCGAAGAAAACCGTGCCTTAATCATTGAGTTAAATGAGAAATTAAATCGTTTACAGACTAGTAACAACTTGTCACAATTCGTAGTTCAAAAATCCGAGAACCATAATTTTACCTCTGCCATGACAATGACACATCCGGAAAAGCTAGAGAATCTAAGTCATGCCGTTGAGGAATTTAAAAATACCACATTGGTAATAGCTCCAAAAATTAACACCATTACACAAACTCAATCCAGCACAGATCCGTGTGACAAGAAGAATTGTGCAGACTTGGGAAAGAAAATAAACTTAGAAAACACATCACAGAAACAATTAATTAACAATGATGAAGATACGGATCTAGTGACTAGTATTATTGCAATTGCGGATAATCAAAAACAAGTTATTCCAAGCCATCGAAAAAACTGCAGTATCCGTTGTAACAACAGGCAAGCATTTCAAGCGTAAGTACTTCACTCTTTTCTGATCTTATTTTACGCTAAAACACAGTTCTATGTAATAATGGAATAAGTCGTAAACGTTGAAGCGCCGGATTTTAAACGATATATACATATCCATGAAAAAATTGAAAATGAAGAATGTCAAAAATATTTTAAATTCTCGGCTAATTTCAACATTTGAAATTGTCAATCATTTACTCTACCAAATACTATAACACGTCACTTATACGTTAGCTTCAAAACAAGAAATGAAATCACTTATATATTGGTTTGACGTGAACTTCTCATTGTTGCGTCTTCAAAAAACTGGAAAAGCTTCCGAAACACATATAAAAGATTTCAGGATGACACAGAATAGTATTTCTTTGCATGAAAATGATTTCAAAGATATGACTGGAAAGGAATTTATTACTAGGGCTATGCAAACGGACCAAGAAAACAACAGTGAATCGTATAATAATTTATGCGATAAATTTAATCAGTAAAAAAAACATTATTATATTTTTGTTATGGAATATATTCAGTCATACTTTATATAAATTTGGACTTTAAAACTTTAGAATTCCATTATCCCTTATAACTAAATATTATTCTCTTAACTTATACCTTAAATAACAATTTTTATCTCTCTTTTTATCAAATGAATTAATATCGCAAGCACTCATTGAATTAATTATCTTCTAAGTTTGAATTAATTAATTACCAGTTGAATGAAAATGATGATTGATAATTTGAAGCACACCGAACAATACCTCGCTACCAATAATGAATACTGCTCGAGATGGGATTAAAAATAAAGCTACGGTGGACAGAAGTATGTAATGATTTATTACGATTATTTCATTTTCCCTACAATTATTATTCCATTGATAAAATATCTAATTCAAAAAAAAGGAGAAATAATAACATTTCACAGCATAAAATATTCTTTTCGTATATATTTATTTTGGAATTAATTGCTGCAATGTTATATTCATATTATTTGTAATTAAAAATTGATTGAAATTAAGGACCGTTTTTGAATGATCCAATTAAATTTTTCAACTATATGGCATCACCACCACGACGAAAATCATTGCCAGCTTCACGAGGCATATTAGGTGTTAATAAATCCAATATGTTTGCAAGGCAAACTATTGTACGGCCAAAAACAATTCGTGAAATTATCCGTAAAACTCCAACAATGATGACAGTAATTGTTCATTTCGTTAATAATTAAATTGCATAGTTTAAACATTATCCAAAATTTTTGAAGCATTTATTTGCAAAATATTGCAAATATGAAAAAAAAAAGTTTAAAATAATAATTTATACAAAACATTGGAAAAAAGTAATTATTATTTTAAAAAAAGTTGGCACACATATTTGATGGCATTTTCATGTAATTAGGTATGAAAAATTGGTAGCTTAAATTGTTGAGCTTTCAACAGTTCTGACATAGGATCAGTCTATAAATTTACCCCACTTCAGACTTTTGAAGTGGGATCATTTTTTTGAATTATTCGATACTTCTTGAAGTAAGCGAAATGATTCAATGAGTAGTTTAATGAGTCCTTTAGAATTTAATGCATTGTTAAATCTCTACATGGAAGTGACATGCCATCAAATACACTTAATGGAATAAATTGATTTAACCTAATATTGTCAAATGATCAAATATTTTAATCGAAGTTCATCATAATATTTTGACATTTTAACCTAAGCATGCTGCAAAAATCGAAAAACCAAAATGTGAAAAGCAAAATGTGAAAACAGTTCATTTTGTGCGACCAATAAATCCACCTAAGAAACCAAACGAATTACCATTGGAAAATCGCGCTTCACGTCTTAAAGCTGAATATTTAGCGAAGAAACGAGCTGAAGAAGGTTGAAAATTATTAAAGCAAATTATTTGATAAATCATGCGAATCTTATTAATTTGTATATTTGACAATTAATACTTGTTAAAATTTCAGATGGCATTTTTTTGCTATTTGTTATTCTGCCTGACAAATATGCGTAGCATTGATAATTTCTCGACTGCTCATAAAATATAATCAAATAGATGACAATAAATGACTGATTTAAGTGAAAAACTTTTTACGCATAATTATTACATATGTTTATCAACTTATCATTTCATTTAATTGATCAAATTATAAGAATAATTAATAGTTTTTTAACACAAATAAGTTGATATAAATTAAAATATGAACTTCTTAAATGGCTTAACAAATTTCTTTTGTTTATGCTAAAAATTAAATAAGTCCTTCTTAATGTGAGCAATTTAGTAATTAAGAAGAAATGATTTTTGATATGAGTGGAAAAGCTGAACCTTCCCGTCTTGCTTAATCAATTTATCGATCATAATTTTTATTCCAGCGAAAAAATCACAAATGATGAAAGATGAAAAATTAACACCCGTAATGGCTGGCCGTTTATCGGTGATGCGAAAATTGTAAGTCTAAAAGATAACAATATTAACGCTTTTTTTTCTATGCGTATAAAAATATTTTGATATTTGTAGTATCAAAAAAGAGTTTATTATTTAGGACATCAATCAATCCTAATGTCGCAAAATCGAACGGTACCAGGGAATCAAATATATCGTCATACTTAAATGCTAGTAATCAAATCAATTCTGGAAGAAAAACATTGTCACCAATAAATGAAATTCCACAAATTAAAAATCATGCAAAGCCTTGAAATAAGAAACTAAATTACTTAATAAATAGCTGTACAGAGAATATTGACAATAAACTAAATATTACCAGCTTTAATTTTTTCTCGACAATGGTCACAAAATACATAATGAACGTGGCTTATTTTCTTTGGTATGAAATTGAAAGAATTAAATCAATTATATTCTGAAACCCGAAAACACCTTTTTCTTTGGCATCGTTTGTGCATAAGATGAAACGTAGTTTAGTTTCAGCAGTCGTTTTAACCACTTTTTCGCTTCTTTATTTGATTGTTTAATTATGTACTCATTTATTAATTGATTTATTGTGTTCAACCCACTAATTAGTTAAAGCTAATTAATAGATTATCTATCCACTCATTTATCTATTTCCACTATTTATTTCTATATACTGATCTTTTCGTTTATTAGTTCACTAACTTCATGAACTATTTTACTTACTCATTAATTCACTTTTACTTTTATTCACCAACCTATTAAATTATTAATATCATTTGTTAACTTGATAGAAAAATTTTGCTGATTTAATATTAACACCTCATTTATTGCTTAATTGTTTGCCAAATTGTCTACTTGCTTATTTACTAACTTGTTAGCTTATTTGATAACCATTCTAACATAATTTGTTATTAAAGCATTCATTTATCTGATATCAATCAGCCATTAATTTATGGAATTACTTACTCAATTACTGCTTCTGCCAATTATTTTCTACTAAAATACTCACATTTTGTTATTATTCGCTCATTATTTATTTTTCATTCGTTTATTTACTAAATTACTTATTTATAACCTTTGCATAATTTTTGCACATTTACCTTTGCTAGCTTATTTGTCTACTAACTTTATACTTATTGTTTTATGATAAGTATTGCTTTACAATAATTATAAGTTTTATAATAAGTTAGTCCATCAACATACCAATTTGTTTATCAAATTGCTCACTTGTAAACTTAATCACTTATTCATTAACTTACGAACTTATTAATTAATTTTTATAAAACTTATTAATTTATTTTTATAAAACTAATAGAGAACACAGAGACAAATGATATAAATTGTTTCGATTATTTTCAAATTCTTATTTTCAAATTTACTTCTTAAAGATTACTTAACTTCAGTAAATTCAAATTAAACATATTAGTGTGAAAATTTCCATTATCACACGTAGTTTTCATTGTTGCACGTAATCTGTTCTCATATTGATTGATTGATGAGGAAATGGGGCGGAGAAATGCTGATCTTTTTTGTCTAGCACACATTTCCTCCTTTTCCGGATTGCTAAATAACCTGCAACTGTCATTATTATGGTAAAAATTTCCGGAGAGAGTGGTGAAATATGTCACATATGCAGTTTGCCTTTCCGCATAGGACACGTATATCGAATGTGACATGTATATTTATTGAAAATCCAATTTTTTCATAACCTTCATCTTTTAAGGATAATTTTAAGAATGTGAATTGTACGAAATGATTTCTCTGTTATATATTTTCATAAATGAAATGTTCAGTTTTATTATTTTAGGTTTTGTATACGAAGAAATCAACCGGAAGAAACGTGAAATGCATCGGAATATACGGCGAAGAGTTTCAACTTCTCGAATGCGTTATGTGCATGATTACTGGATGCCTTTTGGCAATGAAGTACGATGGGTTAGTTATATTGAATTACAGAATGATTATGATTTAGTCATATTGAATTATCGAATGACTATGAATGATAACTTTAATCTCACGTAATCAATAAATAATAGTGAATTTTTACTTTCATTTTTTCCATTTTCGATGACTATTCAAATTAGTCTTATATTGATAGTCTTTAAAAGTAACACTTTTAATAGTTTTACAACCACGACGTGTGATAGGTGTAACAACAAATTTTAAAATACAAAGCGGAAAAGCAACCTCACGGTGTTAGCCTTGGAAATAGTTCGATTAGTTCAGCCCAGTTAAATAGGTATTAGTGATTCTAACCTATTATCTTCAGTTGATGAGCACCTAATAGTGCCTAATATGAACAGAATGCTTTCACTTAATTGACTGAGATCAAATGGTATTTTTTTTTTGAACTTAGAACTTCTTAAAAAATTATTTTAAGTTTCTCGTATGCTGAAGAAATTTCTTAAAAGTTGTTTTCTCGCGTGCTGAATATTGCAACTTCTGTAAAGCTTTAGAAGTACCATAAAGTAAATGTGAAATGCACCCATACCTTGTTGGGAAAAAAGTTTATTAAAGTCCATTTCGATTAGTTGGTACAGTTTAGGTTTACCTTAACGAAATATAGAGAAGGTCTTATACACTATTATTGAATGTAAAGTGCTCATATATTATAAAAAATAATTCAAAGGCATCACTTTAAAATTTTATTCATTAATAAATTTTGTACATTGATGTTTTCTTTATAACGTAGACTTTGCAAGAGATTGTTATTGAATTTAAAATGGAGCAATCATAACTAATTTTATTTAAATGTTGCATGAGATTTCTTGCCAAATGATCTTATTGCCATTCAGGATAGCGTCAATGTATGTAGTCGAATCACCGATTTCTTTTATTGCAAACGGAGATATGTTTCTGATCAAGGTAAACTTCCTCTTCTGTGAGGCTAATTCAACTGACTGGAAATTACTCGCCAGGAAAACAATTCTAATATTTTCGTCTTGAAATTTGCAGAAGCTTCTCTCTGAAGCTGCGTCATCTATCATATCGCTTGTTAAATTTGCCTTTTCTTATACTTATAGAAATTATGATGTTGTTTAAACTAACAATGTGCGACACTTTAGCATGGAATGTGGAAGCAATGCAAATCGGAGGAACGATTAACATGGAAACAGCTCTAGGGATGTTCCGAGTGCTTCCACGAGAATTACTTCATAGTCTTTTCGATCGAATATCTGGTTCATCTTTCCTTATCTTTATTTATTTTACTGTATTTAAAAATATTGAGTTCAATAACAGGGGTGATCATTCAATATCAAAACTAGTTGATGTGCTTGATGTGCAGCATCCCACAATTCTGATCATAAGCGGAATACTGCCATATTTAAAAGTTTTGGAAGAATTTGTGCAAATTTTCAGTTAAACAGTTGCTGTCTATTACTTTGACATCGAGCATATTTAACAGCGAAGTTCAGCGCTATTTGTTGTTAGAAAATGCACGTCGAAAATTTTTGGCTGAAACTACTGCATACATGGAGGAAAATATTATTGATTTCGACCCGTTTTATTCATGGGGTTAGTTCTCGTAATTAAGAAATGTTTGTCGAAATTTAGTTTTTGCTGCCAGACTACTATTGTATCTTTCAGGTATGCTGTTGAAGGCGAGCACAATTGTTATGGATTCTCGGAAGCGCTGTTCATTCTTAGCTTCTTTCTTTTCTAAGGTAGTGCTTACTAATCTGCTTCAACAAGCTATTGCTGCGTTCTTTAATCATTGGTTGATTTTCAAATGTTTTCAGAATGAAATGATTACAAATTGGCCTGGATGGGGTCGTTGCTTCATGGCGGTATGTTTAGAACAGTCTCGAGAAAGGAATAAAGTTATAGATTTTGTATCAGCAATATTACGACAGTCTGATGCGGATTGATATGTTTTAGACAAATGATGAGCCATTTCATTTCAGTACACGGAGGCTTATATTCTAGAGTTTCGCGTATTTGTCATTTGTATTTATAAAAAGCTAGCAAGGATGTTACAAAAGAGCAGAATATGTTTAAGACAGAAACAATTTTACATTGATTCAGTAAATCTGATTTTTTAGCAATAAAAGATAGGAGAACTAAGTGATGTTTTTATATTCATTTCTTGTCATAGTTCTGCGAAAAATGGGATTTTCACGAATGTGAAACGCTAATGCATGCGATTCTTCATTTTACTGACTTGAATCAACTGCTGTATGAAATTTTGCCTGAGGAAGTTGGGAAATATCCGTCGTTGGAGATGGAGGTATGAAATTTTATTCTAAGCCTAGTTAAATTCAAGTTTAGCAGACAAGGAATGATGTATCACATATCCTGCACTTCATTTTCCTTATCTTATTATTGTGCCGATGACTTTTGATATTTCACCTCTTTCGGTAGTGTAACTGAATATCAGAGAGACTCCTTTCGCTATTTCTATTAAAAAGATACAGAATATTATATTGCAATTGCTTTTTTACGATTTTAAGATTCGGCTACGTCTTCGAGGTTTGTTTATGAGTCATTCAACAAAAGATGAAAGGGATTATGGATTCTGGATTTCTGCTATTTTACGCACACAGGAAACGACGGAGCTTCAGGGGAAATTGTTTATGATTATGTTTGGACCGGTTAAAATAACTGAAAGCAGGCGTGGTAAGTGTTCTTCGGAATTTTAGTTTTTCTTAACTTAGTCCAAATCCATTCAGAACGGATAATTTAGGAATAAATATTTTTGAAGTCTTATATATTTGTGTAGTTATCACTAGGTCTTCATGTTATATTGTAAACCAAAAAAATATTGTAGAGATTATTGATTGGGAAGTATTATGTGATGGAAGTGTTAATCTGCAACATATATATATGAGATTATTGGGTCCAATAGCGCTTAGCTTTCATCACCTGGAGAATACTTCAAGTCTTGAGTGTTATGCATGGACTGATGATCAAATTTTCACTCTATTGGAACAAATATCATGTTAGTTGAATCTATCCATCCATACGATCTTATGTCTTTTGATTAAAATTCGTTCAACAGATATTTAACTTGACACTTTTTAGCGGTTCCTAACGCGTGGGCATTACACACTTCCGCTGCGTTGCTTGCTCTCCATCCAAGGATTATGCACATTGCTTTATTAAAGCGATTGTCAGAAGGACGAACGAATGAAGCAGCATATCTTTTTCATGCTATTAAGGCTGTTCGTGCACTTTTTTTAATACAAAAGTCAAGAGTACAATACTAATTATAACAGCTTTAGATACATTCGAATGAATTGTCTACATGTTGGATAATGGATGACAATCGAAGGATGACGATTTGGGATGCTACCTGTCGATGTTTTCTGGCTTATCTATTCAGCTCCTAATCCTAGATTTACCCTATGAAATAACTGTTGAAATTTATCAGAGGATAGAGCACAAAGTTTTTCATTTTTGCATCGGAGATCTAACCTTCCAGGTCTTACATCGATGGGGAATTTTCGTCAGCGGGGCTATATCCGATGCAATGCTCAAGACATTTCGAGCTTTACCGACGATCCATCGCCGATTGTTCTTGGGCTCATTGCTGCGGGCAGAATCATACCAGCTTAGCGGATTACTTCTTAGCACACCGTGTAGGTGGTTCATTCATAATTTTTATTTCGACTCGTTCACAACTTCATAAGATTCTGGTCTGTTTATTATTCCGCTTAAACAGGGGTTTTCTTCTATCAATAAAATTGAATTTTAGCTTTTTTTCATCCACTGGTGAATTCTTATCAGGAATCGAAGTGGATAAAAAAAGAGCAAAATCTATTTTGTTGGTATAGATTAATAAACCATAGTCTTGCTAGGTAATTTAGAATAATTACTAAAGAGGATCTTACGAAGTTATGAATGAGTTGAAAGTCACAGAAGAAACTAAGATTAATAAAAGCGCGTTAAACTAATGACATGAAAAAGTAATTTTGCGTGAAAAGATCAAAATAAAACAGACTATATGGATACCTAATTTATAATTAATTATGAAATCAGTTTTTTGTTTTTATTTATATTTTCTAAACCACTGATACTCTTTTTTGAGTTTTGATATTACTTGCCTGAATTTTGGTTTGGTTCCTTTTTTGACACAATTCATTTAATAGTTACTTATCGTTAGCAGACATGATTGCAGTTAATGCTGAGAGCTTCCATGCTGAACTCTCTTCCGCACGCTCCATATCAACGCTGATGGCACTACTTGCAAAGAATGTATGAAGTTAAAAAAATTCAGCACCACTATTTTCAGTACATTCATTTTGGCGCACTGTAATAGTTTTGTTATGACCTTGATTCATTTGAGTAATTTCCTGATGGATTAGATGGAACAATCAAATGTAGAGCAACGAAATTTGCTTCAAATAAGATTGATTCGAATATCTAGACACAAAGAAGTTGAAATAGAACAACAAAACCAATGGGTGAATAAGTTCAGCTTTGAGATTTCTTTTTAGTAATCAGGAAACGAATCAATAATTGGTTAAAGTTTTTAGATTATCGTTATGTTGAACAATTTGTCGATGTTTTATTGATTACTGTCAGTCTATTCCATTTTGCAATACTAAATTTTCTGGGAAAAGCCTATGCTGCTATACAATCCGCTTATTTTAGAATGATTTTAATTTTACTTGTCTGTTGTTATTTTTCTATTTGTCTTTATTCCAATTCAATTTTTATTTTGTCTGTTTGTTGTTACATTTCTGATTATCACCTTTATTTTAATTCATTTTTGTCTTTATTTGTTTACTCTTATGTGTACGATTGCCTCTTTTGTACGGTGTTACTTATACGGTATGCTTGTTTTTGCTCATTATCATAAAGATGACATTGATAACTCGTCTTGAATGGAATGTATTGAGACGCATTTATTCCCACAACGCAGTTTTTTTCTAATGCATCATTTGAATTTAAATTGCATTATTGCAAGAGAAAATTGTTAAAGAAATCCTGGGTGGGGTGACAAGAAAGATGGCTATAGTGCTGTTATTCGATGAGTTTAAAGTGGGAAAATCGAAGTTTGAATGAAAAGTATTACTTATTTGTTGCCAATGGAAGTTGTGGGTTTGGTTTTCTTATCAAACATGTGGGGATTTTTTATAAAGAGATAATTTATAAATAAATTCAATTATTTAGCAATGTGTATATGCAAGGGTAAGATTGAACTGGATTCTTAAATCCGACACGGGAATTCGAATTCTTTAAACTCTTTCCAGCTTCAGTGGATATTTGTTTTATTAACGAAGTTCTGGGAAATATTATTGATTTTTGTGAAGTGGTGAGGTTTTGATCGGCCTTGCGGATGAGCAAATGAGGCACTATTTAAAGCATCCGAGCAATTGATTTTACGAATTGCGACTTCTCTTCTAGAGCTAACAGGATTGATGCCAAGGGAAGCTTGTGAATTTTGTCGACGAGCCAGAGCTCGACATAAAACGAGAAAGAAAGCTGGAGTTTTTTGGTATAGTAGTCGAGGATTGGGTCGTGTAGATTGGAAGCAGAAAACTGCAAAATTTCGTCATAGATCGCCGGTATGTACGTGATACAATCGATTGATTGCTATTTCAGTATAAAGCATTACGCTTACTTTAGTTTTTAATAATGCTGCTTTGCAACTTAGTTAAAGTTTTACATTTATTTCTCATCTTGTAGGCAATGTTGGTACGGCGTGGCAGCAGGCGCAAAACTAATGAAGTTGATAAACAAAATGAATTTGTAAGTAATCCTAGGCTGCAAGTCCTCGTGGATTTATTTGAAAAAGAAAATGAAATCGAAGAAGGTTATATGGTTTTGCTTCTTTACTCGACATTGAACAATACAAATAATCGCGAAAGCAGTTGTTTGAGAAAATCGTTTATTGATTTATGGAACGATTTATGTGATGTCTTTAGAATCATTTATATGTTAAAAGAAGGGGGTCGTTTAATTTTATGAAAGTAAAAAAGTTAGGAGTCGTTAATTGATTCAGATTGATCCCGAAGTTTAAAATTAATTCCCATGAGCCAAAAAAAACGCTGTAGTATAAATTGAACTTAACGAAATATTTTCTAGTGTCTTCTCCAAAAAATAGTGCAAGTGTTCTATCAGAATCTGTAAATAATGTTGAAGCTATTGACGAACCACATGTTTTGACTCATGATATAAATCAGTTGTCAAAAGAAGCAATTTCAGTCATTGAGTCCAGGTCAACAGAGGAACATAACTTAGCATATTTCAAGGTTCGTCCTTCTGTTCGGCAATTGTTTGTAAAATTGGCATTTTCCTATTTTGTGATAGGCCTATGGTAGTTGTAATATAGAATTTTTCTGATTGTAAGAATTCATGTTACTGCATACTTATATAAAAGTCCTGACACGGGTACATGCGTTTTTCAATTTTATCTGACGATAATTTATGCATTAGAGATGAGTTTTTGGAATTGATGATAAAGATTTAGAATAAAATGTTACTATTAATTTTAATGAAAGTTTTTCAGATTGCTGAAATAACGCTTCAGCAATGTGTGGATTTGTTGCAGTCACTGCCGACATCCAATCAGTATATGAAAAACGGCTCTCGATTATGATATCTGATGTTATGAAATACATGGCTTTCGTAATTTCAGGCATTTTTTTTTCATCAGTTAGTGTAATGCAAGAAATATCATATACTCTTTTCGTAAATGTACATTGTAATGAGAGAACTTGTTGACGTCACAGAATTGTTATCACTAAGCTTAAAAGCGTTTAATCGTATGTTGAGGCATGGCTATTTTCAATAGTATGCCATTTTGTATTTTAGTATAGATAGTGCATGACATATATTCGATACTACATTTTATTACTATGCATAAAAAACAGTACTAATGAACTGTTTTTTAGTGCAGCAAAGAGCTGCTCTTATTATACATAAATAGCACATGTAATCATAAAAGTCATAAAAGTAGTGTGCCGAGGTGACAAAATCGATCTAGCGACATTTTCATATCTTTAGTCAAAAACCGTATATATATATCGTCGAGCGCTTGGCGGTACAATTCGTTTTCCAGTGATGGAATCGTAATCCATAACATCTTCATCCGATAACGTACTGCTTCCGCTTTCCCAATCATCAGGTCTTTCCAATCTTACTGGTTGTTCATCAACTCTTTGGCCGGTCTGGATACATTTGTCTGCACGATTTGGCCTGGTTTGGGTTATCCTAAATATATGTAAAGCTTGTATGAATTAGAATAATTATATAAACATTCGCGGCCCCAAATGTTTTTCATGAATAAAAATCTATTGTTAAAGTATGATAATACCCAAATGGGTCAGATTGACAAAACGCTGTGTTGGATACTATAGAAGTATAAGAAACAAGAATTTTGTGGAAAAAGTGAAGTCTTAGAGATCACGTCTGACAAACTGGATAAGTCGAATGTGTGAGGATATTTAAGTGTTCTTTGAAAGCCGTTTTAATAGTGCTGAAAATCTCACGTCTCGTTAAATTAAGCAGTGCGAAACTAAGCTTAATAAGATTGAAAATACAAGACGGCAATTGAAGCTCTTTTGCTACCATTTTATGATTGAGCTAATTTATTTATTATGGGACTAACCTATTTACCATAGAACTTCTCTGTCTCCATCTGTCTTCAAGAAGCTGCTTTTTGTGTTCATCCATTGCTATGTAAATGAGACGATCTTGTATTGGTTGTGCTTCACAGAGCCTCAAATTTTATTAATTTTAACAATTTTATGATTCTTAATTCGTAAAATATTATATAGTTGGCTACTTTTTTTATTGAATAATTAATCTTTTATTATAGTAGATTGACGAAACCTTTTATTAGATGCATTAAAAGATCAATACTTTTCTGCCTTTTGTAAAATGACCTGATTTACAAATAGTGAAGGCCTTCCTCTACCTTTTCTTCCCAAATGTTTTTGCTGCACTCATCTTAACACTTCATAGGCAGGAGAAATTTTTACTCGTTTAGTAATTGTATATATACTAAAAGGTAACCTTTTAACACCTTCTTTCTCATCCGGTATTACAGTCATTGTGGCCACATCCGGATCGATCTGTCTTATTCGATATTGGCTATCGATTGAACGAATCATCCGGTCAAAGATTAAACGAATTTTCGCCTATGACAGGGAAGTTTTTTCTCAGTCCTTTATTTGTTTAAGATTTCTGTTCTTTTGAAACCTTATTTTACATTTTCCTAATCATTTTTTATTTAAAAAGAAAAAAGATCCACAGATGAATACTTATGTTATCTTATCATTTATGGAGAGAACAGTGATTGAATTAGGAATTTTCTAAAGAAAATTTACAAATATTGATTTTAAGAAATCCATAAGTAACCTGTACAATGGAAACGCATAAGCCAACCACGGAAAGACCTATCATTGTAAGAGCCAAATTGAAAATAATATAATTTGGTGTTTCTGTGACAACATCACCAAGTCCTAGAACTTTTCGAGTAACTCTCGCACACATTCAAAAGTAATTTATTTAAAAATTTTTGCTTGTAAAATATTTTTATTTTTCAAAATTCATATGAAAATTGGGATGTTTTAATCAGTTTCTAACGCTTTTATTCTGTGCTTTGATTAGTTTCTAATGCTTTTAATGATTGATCTAATGTATTAAGATAGTGAAATCTATTTCATTTTTTATCATCTCGGTGCTTTCTAATCGATCGGATCTATCTATAACAACTTTGTCTTATTCTAACTTTTCGTAGGAAGTGTTTTTTTCGAAATACAAACCGATTGTAGTAAGTGAGGTAAAGAAGTAATAGTAAGCAGTAAAATAGGTCCAATTAGTCTCCCAGAGTCGCACTACAAAAGCACTGATTATAATCCATGAAAAGAAAAATATGAATGCAGCCTTAAGCGGCACAGTACGTTGTTTTTCCACTTCGCTAAGTTCAATTGGTAGCTGGGATATCTTTTTACCACTTTCTATCTGAAATTCAATCATTGATCCTATTGAATATATGCTGATCAATAAGACCCATGTTCAAATAATTGTTGGCAAAAAAGTAAGTTATTTCTTGAAATTACATAAGGAAATTAAGCGATAGTCTATTGAAGTTTATTTTTGAAAATGAAAATTTTTGATGCTTGAGTGAAATCTTATTAAAAATAAAAAAATCTCCGGTAATTATTATGAAAAGAGAAAAAGAAGTGTAGAGAAGAGAAAAGTAGAATTATTCATCCATTTAATATTTGATAAAATAATACAAACTTGATTGATTCACCTGATGATCAGTCTGATGAAGGTCATCATTTGTTTGAGATAATTGAGTTAATGGTCCCAGTGATGTCAATCTAAGTGATAAGTCACTTCCAGCACGGCGACTTCTAAAAATATCTAATTTTTTTTTTTTTTCTATTAACGAAATACATATTGTTGAAAACTGATAAAATTTTATGTGTTTTAGAGAGTAATAAGAAATGAAATGAATTAAATGATAAATGATTTAAATATATAAAATATCGATTCTTTTTTCTTTGTTTCAATTGATTAATAATAAGGAAAAGAATGGTTTCTTTTTTCACTACTTTAATTGACAGCAGGCATTTTAATCAAATTCTATTTGAAAAAAATAAATAGATGAACTTTTTTCTACGAGAAAAGAATAAATAAATTTAATTTTATATGGAAATAAATAAATAAATAATAAAAATAAATGAACTTTTCTTTTTCAAGACGTCTTTTGTGATGTTTTTTCATTGAATTTGAACATAATTTCAAATTAAACCATTTCCAAAACATATTCAACCAGGTATAATACAAAAAACCCCATTCCAAAAGAATTGTAAAAACTAATGGTATACCACAAAATGCATAAATCATCGATATTATACGACCGGCGGTTGTTATGGGATGAAAATTTCCATAACCTGAAAGAAAAAAAAATGTTTTTTTAAATTGTTACAATTTTGCGGTAATAATATTTGTAATTCATTTCGTTACATTTCGATTATTGAAATAATGTAGTAGTAAATATTATATCGTTTAATACAATTAATAAATATATATTAAACAAATTGATGCAATATATTTATTTGAAATTTTAGAATTCGATTACACAAATGAAATTAAATGATACTGTAAATTTAATGCAACATTGAATTTATTTTCAATATTTAATTAAAATAAATGAATAATTCATTTACAAATATTATTTTAGATTTAAAGTCGAATTTTTTAAGTGGGAAATAAATTATAAATTGAAGTGTATTTTAATCAAAAGAAAATAATTAATGAAGCAATGAAAAAGAATCAGTTAATTAGTTATACATTTTTCGTCACTAGAATTTTTAAATTATCAATTTATAAGAATTGATTTTGAAGCATTTGCATATTTTCAAATTAACAATGAATATCAATTAAAGCGGCATCTACAGTGAGATGTTAATAGAATTTAAAAAACGTTATAAATGTTCGAATGGATAGCAGTTGAGGAAACATTTAATAATTTTAGCAAAATTTGAAAAACAATAAATTTGAATAATTCTTAGATAATATCAATTAATATGAAACATACCAATAGTAGTATATAAGCTTGCAGAATAATAAACACCGCCCCAAATATTCCATTTTGTATCCTCCATTACTGGTAGCTTAATTTCGATTCCTAATTCTTGTTCATACCAGCTGAATACATCTCTGGCAAGTTTGATTTTTTGATTTTCTATCTCCGATATGCTAATACTTTTATTTTGCAAATATAATTCATCATTGCCAATTTCCCATAATTTCCTAAATTATTTATTAATAGTAATTTTATTTATTCCTATTTTATTTATTTGATTGATTTAATTATATTACATTTTTATGCTTCAAAATAAAAGTTTGAAAGATTTTGCCGCCTTAGAACGGAATTATTTCCAAATTTTTGTGTAAGAATAAATTAATACAAATTAATTTATGAATGTTTTAAAACAAAATTATCCATTAATGTTAATGCAAAAACAATTAATATAATTATTTATGCCAAAAAAACTTTTTCTTTCATATTTTTTTACTTTTTTCACATTTGCTATTCTTCTCATTGCCGTATTATTACCTTCTTAAGTTTAAATTAATGCATCCATTATACCTGTATTATAATCAGGTGTTTGAGTATATTATTTAAACATAGCAATAAATAAATAGAACCCATTATACTCACATACAGATATTTAAGTATATTAATTAAGTATTTGAGTATAATAATTATTTGTAGTAATAAGTAAATTGATCAGTTTCAAATATATCATTATAGAATAAAAGTGTTTTAGTAGAGAGTATCAGCATATTTATTAATTGTTTAAGTAAAAATAATTTATTGTATTAATTGATTTCAAATATATCATTGATTCCTCATCAAATCATAGTAAGTAAAAATTAACGATTAGTGGCACTAAAGCGTAAATTAATATTTTTTTTCATTTTAAATTGTAAATAAGATCGAAAATAGAAAACTTTTTTTATGAACACTTCAAAAGTTTACATCAAATAAAATTATTTATTATTAGAAATAATCGTAACTGTATACTTGAAAATTTTTGTTTGATATGTTTTGCGCTTTTCATAAAGATCCATTTGATGTTTATATTTCATCATAATTTCATTTTTATCGTTGTTGCCTAAAAAATGAACCAAACAAAAATAAATTTAAAAAATGAGGAGAAAAGTATTTTTGAAATTCTAATCATTTTGAGAAAGTTAAGAATTAATTCTATAGCATTAAACATTAAACTTTAAAAATTTTCCTTTTCATCTTTTATTTGAAATTTTTTGCAAGATTTAAATGAGAGAAAAAAGAGTTTGAAAGAAATTTATTCAAAATTAGAAATTTTCAGCTGCATTTTACCTTCAATAGCGCTAAAAACAATACCACCAATGAAAGAATATGCAAAAAGGATAATTAGCCAAATTAAATTTCGCCATATTGTTCGACCACCTGTTGCTTTTTCAACTTTTTCTTTCTTTTGTGGTTCCATTTTTTGTTTGTTATTGTTTACCTTTAAACTGATAATAAATATAATTGCTACAAATGTTAAATATGCATCAAATTAAATAAATTTTGAATATATATATTTTATTAAAAATAAAATTATTATTGTTATATTGTATAAAATTATTTTATTATTAATTTATATATGTATTATTAAAATATAAAATTATTATAATATTGTTTGTTTTTCTTTTTGTTTTGTTACGATATTTCATTAACCAGCTATTTTAAATTTATCATCATTTCTTATTTCAAATTCATTTTAACAACTCACAGTTGTCAAATTTCGTCTTCAAGTAATTTAAAATTAATTCGAAAATTGTAAAATTTAAAAATTCTTCCTTTTTTTAATTTATTGAAACAATTATTCATATGTTTTTGTAACTTTCACATTCATTCGCCTATCCTTCCATTAAAAATGCGCCTTTCAATTCTTCATTTTCTGCTGCTTATGAAATAATTTTACCTTACATTTTCAAAGCTTCTCTTCAAAACAAAATTTAAGCATAGCGAAAGAATTTTGAAAATATATATTTCAATAATGAAAACGGATCATCTAAATGTTTCTGTGGTATATATTTTGTCCAGCAGGTATTAATTTTGTTTCTTTTGATGAAGCCTTCTTAATTGTAGTTTGATCCAATCTAGCCTAAATATCACATATGTCACACTACCTCTAGATCAGGCATTGATCTTGTTCGATAGTCTAATGCAATCTAGCCTAGATATCACATATGTTATCGATAATTATCATCGTATCTTCGTCCAATTTCATATGTGCGATAATTTTTGAAATCACATGTGTTGTATTTTTTATTCAATAAAAATTTTTCTTCTGCTAAAGCTGGTGATTATTATTGGTATAGCTTCTGATAAAGCTTCTGAGAAAGCTGATAATTATTATTGCTACAGTTCTATTTTGAATGTTTAACATGGAAATCAAGTTAAATCACTAATTTCTATGAGTCTTATTGTGGCAAATAATTTAAAATTTTTAANTATAGCTTCTGATAAAGCTTCTGAGAAAGCTGATAATTATTATTGCTACAGTTCTATTTTGAATGTTTAACATGGAAATCAAGTTAAATCACTAATTTCTATGAGTCTTATTGTGGCAAATAATTTAAAATTTTTAATTAATTTTAATTTAACAGTAATTTTTACTTATTTTACTTACCTTAAATGTATTACATTTGATTCTTTAAATTAAACTCTTATTTCTATTAGATTTGCGAAGAATAAAATAATAATTTAAATATTAACAAATTAATAAGATCATAATGATATATGCACTATAGTTTGTTATTATGTTGTTCAAAATGTTTCTATAACAGTTTTGATTTAAAAAATGTTCAAATAGAAGTAAAGAATTAAAGTTAGACTAAACTAATTTCGTACTTTATTACTTTTTTTCAAAATTCGTGCAAACGTTTTTTGCAGTATTTGTTAAAAAGAAGTGTTTGACTTCAAAAAATTAGCAGGAAATTCAATATAATAGATGTTGGAATTAAATTTTGGAATATAAAATATTAATTTTTATTAAATTTTAGGATAATCAATTACTTTTCCATGAAATACAAATAAATTGAACAAATGGATAAAAAGACTGATATATAAGTAAATAATATAAGAATGATATAAGATATAAAAATAATATAATATAAAAAAACTGATGCATAAGCAATAAGAATGGGTACCACAGTAAGTAAATCATAAAGCCTCTCTAAGCTTTTACGTTCTATCGTACTTAATTACTTCATGTTTCGCAACTTTAACTAATTTCTTAATACCTAAGCAATATTTACTTCCTTGCTTAAATTATTTGGCAATCAAACCTCATTTTCATTTTCAAATTCATTCAAAAATTTCAAATGTATGCCTCTAACGTTCGTCGTCGCTTATGTCGTCGTTTTCGCCCTTTTTCATTCGCTACCATTGAATCAATTATCATCGAATCATCCTGAAGTAAATGAATTTTTCGCTAATACTAATTTTTAAAAAC